AAAGCTAACGCTCGCGAGGGTACTTTCATTGCGGACGCGGTCAGAGTTGCCGCCCACAAGGACGTTCATCAGGAAGGCGCTAAGGAGCAGGAACGGTTTAATCGCAAGTGTAACACGATGCCCACGTTGCGGCGAAGCACGCCATTCACCTGCACCCCTCAGACAGCGTGCGACGAGGAGACGTTGACAGGCTCGTTGCGACGTCTCGCAGGGCGCGCACGTTGGTGGTTAAGTTGTTTTTTGTTAGTATGGCATCGCTTGGAGTCCTCTCTCGCGCCCAAGGCGTCGTCTGCCGCGCCGCAGCTTTCCATCGACAACCATCGCGACTGGCGGGTTTGGTCAGGTTTGCGGCGGCGCAGAGTTTGTTTTTGTTCGGTTGTTCGCAGCAAGAAGAGCCCGCGCCAGGCCGCCGCGCAGGGAAAGGCAAGCCTGACAAGGGTGCGTCGCGTGAGCTGGTCAAAATGTCGTTGCGTTTCGCTGTATCAGACGCAGGTTTCACAGCGCGGGCGCGCGCGTCGATGGACTGGGAAGGCGACGCGATGGACGCCCCACCAGGAATGCCGGTCAGCTTTGGCGCGCTTTGTGCAAAGGGATACACCCGAATCCCCGCGGGCGCAACGCGTCGGTGGACGTGGGTTCGGCTTGCGAAATGTTCGGCAATCGGCAGTCTGTGGCTCAGCCTGCCGTCTCTCGTTCGGACGGCGCTGGCTCGCCCTTGCTGCTTGCCGCCCTCGCTGGAGACCGCCCTGGGGGGGGGCGTTTCTTGGCCCCCCCGCTCACCATTCCCAGCCGCGGCGAAGCTGCTGACCCGCACTGGCTAATCGCGCTTGCTGTGTGTCTCAGGTTCCTGTCTTCAGCCTGTCCGCTTCAGCGGCGAATAACGCCGCTGTTTGTCTCGGGCTCAGTCGGCGCCGTCGCCGCTCTGCCCAGTTGTCTGCGCCCCTTTGGGCGCAGCCTGCAGCGGTTCCAGCCGCTGCTGCTTGGGCGGCGGTTGGCCGCGGAGCGCTGGGCCCCGCCCAGTCGCGACGCCGCGGAGAGGGCAATGGGACAGAGCCCGATGCCGCAATCCCCCCCATCAGGAGAAGGCAGCACCGACGCTCGACTTGAAGCGGAGCTCGAAGCAGTCACGGACTCCTTCCAGTCCTCCACGCCGGCGCAATCATCCACCCCAGGGTTGGGGCCCAGCGCGCAGCTGGCCGTTCAGTCACCCGACGCCAGCATTAGTTCAGAACCCTCGCCAGCGGGACCACCCGCGAATGCCCTCGGAGCCACCGCTGGATCCGCCCCGCCTCGCCCACCAACCTTCGCCGGCGGGGGCGCCCGCGGCTGCGCGAACGAAGCGCCCCCCCCGAGCGCTCCCGCGCGACGCCGCCGCCGGGGCGCCCGGCGGCCCACGAGCCCCACATTGGCCCCTGCGCCAGAACACGCGCGAGCCACTGAGGATCGCACTGGACGGACCTCGCCGCGAAAAGCCCCCGAGCCGCATCGTCTCCAGTCTCAAGATAAGAACAACGGCCGCAGCCCCTCCCAGAGGCGCTCGCGGCAGAATTTCCCGCGGCGCGACATCGCGCCACAGGCGTCGCCCTCCGCCAGCGATTTGGCGGAGCTCAGAGACCAGGCTGAAACCTACACTACCCAGCAGTTGTCGGGCCTTGCGGCGCAGAGAGCAACCTCGAGGCAAGAGATCCAGAACGCTCTTGCCCTAGTCGACGCTCGAATCGCCGAGGATCGATCGGCCCTCAACCAGATCCAATATCACGCCGACCGCGCGGAGTCACACCGAGGCGCCGACTCCATTGCAATCCAGACGCTGCACGACTGCCTCCTCGCCGCGGAGGCCCAAGTCGCGAGCGTCGGCGACGCGGGCACTGCAGCTGTCAGGACACTACACGGACGAAGGAATCTTCGGCCCGAGCGCAGCGAGTGAGCCGATGAAGATTTTGTACCTGGCACGCTGCTGCAGAATTGACCTCGCGCACCCAGTTTGCATGCTGGCAAGGGAGATCACCAAGTGGAATTACGCATGTGATAAGCGTTTACATCGATTGACGTGCGATTTGAAGTCTGCACGCACACATTGCCTCCACATGGATAGATTGGTGACACTCCGGGTAAAACTATTGACGCTTCGCGTACCCCCACCAGTCACTCGCCGCGCTGTACCTGGAGGATGACGTGTTGACGTTCATCGACCCGGCCCTCCGTCTCTGAGCGGCGCTGCGTGTGTTTCTTTTTCTCCCTCCTTTCGCCTTCCTTGTTTTCGTCATTTTGTCTTCCCGTCGGCTCTTCGTTCCCTCTCGCTCCGCTCGTGGTGCCGCGATGCGAGGCCCACCCGCTTCGTCACTCTAGCGCTGCCTCTGCGTTGTGGCCCCGTCCTTTTTCCGCGTCTCGCCGGCGACAATTGCGCTGTGCTCTTGCACCGGCCTGCGCTCTTTTCGCGCTTCACGACGCCGCGCGGGTGCCCGCTCGCGGTCGCGATCAAAGAAGTACCCCACCAGCCCATCCAGAAACGATCAGCAGGGGAGTTGGTAAATCGAGGACGGCTGGAAGCATGCAGCTGCGCGGACGTCTTCAGAGAAAAAGTGATCATAGTTTCCCGCATTGAAGCTTAAAGTGGAAATCGGTGCAGGCTACAACGTGGTATTCCCCGTGGTAAGCGCCTCTAAGCGCAGGTGATTGTAACCACCCAGGGCTATGAGAAACAAGGGTCACGCATAGTTCCCGCAACGAATTTAAAGATGGACATCAGGGCGTTCCCTGTGGTAAGCGTTTCTGGCGCAGGTGACGGTATCTATCATTCGTCGCCATCGTCGCACAGTTGAAAGTCGCATCCACAGATGCATCATTGATTTTTGCCCCCGCACTGAACTTTAGCTGAAGCTCGCGTGCGGCTGCTGGTGTTGGTGGCGGTGGCGGTGGTGGTGATGTTGCTGGCATTGTTGTTTGTTGTGATCGGTTGCCCTTTTGGGGCCATCTAGGAGTATGTGGCGGTGCTGTTGCTAGAGATGCGTGGGGCCAGTTCGGGGGTAGCAGGTGGAGGAGGAGGAGGAAGAGGAGGAGGAGGAGGAGGAGGGCGAGGAGGACGAAGACGAGGAGGACGAGGAGGAAAAACAGAAAAGGAGGAAGGGAAAGAGGAGCAGGAGGAACGCGGCGCGAGGAGGATGAACTGAGGCCCGATCCCTTCACATTTGAATCCGTCGTAGAATCGGATGTTTTCTGCTACGGGGGCCCGAGGGGTTATTACGGGAAGTTATTATTTTTGGGCCATTTTACGAGTTTTCCCGGTCTCCCCGTGGGGCTCTTTTGGGGGTCTCTTGGGGCTCTCTTGAGGTTTTCTTGGGGCTCTTTTGGGGAGTGTTGGAGCCCTCTTGGGGCTCTCTTGGGGGGGCTGGGAGGCCTTTCGGGGCAGTTTTGGGCCCCTCTGCTCAAAAAGAGGGGGGTCGTGAATTTAGGTCCCCCCCCTCGGACGCCCAAAAGGAGCGTCGTGGGGCCCTCTTGGACCGCTCTTGGGGCCGTCTTGGGGCCCTCTTGGGCCTTTCTTGGGGCTATGTTGGGCCATCTTGGGGCCACCTTGACGCCTCAAGAGCCCATCGGAAGAGAAAAAGCGAAACGGCAAAACACGGATGTTCCTTAATTAGGTGTTGAACTCATTTTGGCCTCTTGGGGGGGTTCTTGAAGGGTTCGTTTGGCACCTGAAACTGTTTTGGGGCAGTCTTGAGGCTTCTGGGATGCGTGTTGGAGGCTATCTTGTGCCGCCTTGAGGTAGATTGGGCGATCTTGGAGGCCATTTTTGGGCTAGCTAAAGCCCTCTTGAAGCTGTTTTGGACCATCTTGGACGCTCTAACCCCTCGCGGGGGGCCCGTCCAGACCCAGGGAAAGGGGGACGAGGTGAACCTCCCGAGCAGGGAACGGACGGAGGCTGGAAAAGGAAACGCTCTAGACCACCTGCGCCCAGAGTGCTGGTGGGATCCAATGTGGGACCGAGAGGTTATTGCGAGAGGTTGTTAGGGGAACTCTTGCCGTGGGGCTCTCTTGGAGCCTCTCGGTGCTATCTTGAGGCTTTCTTGGGGCTCGTTTGGAGAGTATGGGGGTCTTCGTGGGGCTCTTTTGGAGGGTGTGGGAGGCCTTTTGGGGCCGTTCTGGACCCATTCGTTCAAAATGAGGGGGGACGCCCAAAGGGAGCGTATTGGGGCCCTCTTGGACCGCTCTTTGGGGCGTTCTTTGACGCTCTTGGGGCCGTCTTGGGGCCCTTTGGGCGCAATCTTAACGCCTCAGGATCCCGTCGGAAGCGAAAAAGCCAAAAGGCAAAACAACATTGATGTCGCTTAGGTTTTGAAGCTATGTTGGCCTCTTGGGGGGGTCCTTGGAGGGTTCGTGTGGCACTTGAAACCGTCTTGGGGCAGTCTTGAGGCCTCTGGGATGCGTGGTGGAGGCTATCTTGTGCCGTCTTGAGGCATTTTGGGCGACATTGGAGGCCATTTTGGGCTAGCTAAAGCCCTCTTGAAGCTGTTTTGGACCATTCTGGACGCTCCAACCCCTCGCGTGGGAGCCCGTCCAGACCCAGGGGGGGGGGTGAACCTCCCGAGCAGGGAACGGACGGAGGCTGGAAAAGGAAACGCTTTAGACCACATCCGCCCAGAGTGTTGGTGGGATGTCCATCATGTGTTTCACTGACGCCTCCTTCGCGGACTGCATCAACAACTCTAAGTCGACCACGGGCGTTTCCGTGGCGCTGACGGGACCCAACACATTCTTCCCGCCCAACGGCGCGTGCAAGAAACTAACTATTGTCTCGCACTCTTTCACAGAGTCTGAGAGCGTAGCCCTTGATTCGGCCTTGCGTATCGAAAGTCTACCACTGCTTTCTTTGTCCGGGAGGCTGTGGTTCATGGCCCACTACAGAGGAACAGTAGTAGCATGTTCATGGCCGCCAAGAAAAAGCGACGCAAGACGCCTCCACGGAAGGCGCCGCCAACCCGCGCCTCCTGCCCCGGACCCAGGACATCGACGCGAGCTACGCCACGATCACCCACTTCATCCTCAAACATCATGTACGAGGACATCGTACTACATGCCCCACGTTCCCCTCCCACACCAGCACTATTCCCGATGGTGCATCTTATTGTGGCAGAGGACAACCAGGCTGTAATTACGATTGTACAGAAAGGGCGCACGCCCGCAGCTCGTCATCTTCATCGTACATCAACTTGCATTCGAAAACGGGAACATGCCAACAAGAACGAACGCAGCCCAAATATGTAGGGACGAAAGAACAGGTTACTGACATGTTGGGGGGGAAAAAAATAAAAAAAAAATTAAAAAAAAAAAAAAAAAAAAAAAAAAAAAAAAAAAAAAAAAAAAAAAAAAAAAAAAAAAAAAAAAAAAAAAAAAAAAAAAAACAAAAAAAAAAAAAAAAAAAAAAAAACGGAGCCTAAGAAGGCTCACCATTGGCAATAATTGTTTGATGTATCGCCCATTTGCCCCGCCAGTAACCTGAAGCCCGCGAAGACGCCAGAGGCCGCCAAGACCGCCAGCCACGCCCCTGCTGGCCCTCGCTCTTCCCCCCTCGAGCCCCCCATCCGCGCGCGCGCGTTGTCAGGAGCGCCTCTGGCCATGGCCGCTCAGAACCTCAAGCGCATTCGCGCCTTGATCCCCCCTAGGTGATAGGAGCCAACCCCGCGGAACTCGCGCCGCGATGGCTCGCCCCCAGGACGAGCTCCACGGCGCGCAGGCCGGCGGAAACATCAACGTCGGCGCCGATGGAGACACCCGCGTGGGCCCAGCGTTCCCTCCGCAGGTGGGGCGCCCTCGCTCTCCGGAAGACCCCCAATGAATTCCCCCCGCCACGAGCGGCGCCCCGACGGCCGTGGGCAACGCGCGCTGCGCTCGAGCAAACAGGGTCTCATCACCGCTGCCGATCATGCGTCTGGCGAGGCCATTGAGCTCATGTCAGGCAGTCGTGTTCCACGCCCTTCTCCCCCCGCGGCCACGCCGTGGTTTGCCCTCGCGTTCGCGTTGGTATCTTTAACAGGCCAATACCTGATGGGCTCCGCCATTGCCAACGCCCTTCTGCCAGAATACCCTTGGACTCGGCCCTGGAGGCAGCGCGCGCCTTCCGACGGCGGCGCGAAATGATGCGAGGGGCAGCGCATGGAAGATACTCCGCGTGCCATGGGACAAGATCGGCATTGCATTTGTTGGACAGGCGACGGGGAGAAAGGCTGCGCACGACGAGGCGCACCATGCCGACAATCCCAAGTCACCACTACTACTGCAACAGCACGGCCTCACGTCTGTCAACTTTTCCGACGCCCATTGCGATTTCTCACCAAAATTACCGACTAAGCCACCTGCCGCCCCGCGCAGTTCGGACATGGCTGGCCAGATCGGAAGAAAAGCCGCGGCGATGCAGAAGATCTGCCGCCGCCTCTCCCACATGTTGACAGACGCCCGCAAATTCGAGGTGGAGGCCTCGTCATGGGTGACTACGCGCGGGGGATTCGGCAGCCCCGCGCCGCTGCCAGCGCCGGCGGCAACGCCCGCGGCCGACGGCGAGCTTCGCCCGGCAAGGGCGCCGCCCAGCGCGGATCCGAGTTCGGGCCCCTGGCCCCCCGATCTTCCACGCCCCAGCGACGCGCCTGAGAATCGAGGCGCCGGCAGCATGCTTTGCGACGACATATTCAGGGACATCCCGCAGCACCTCGACCACGATGGTCGGCATCTGCATCATGCCGCTAACTCAAGACGATGTTCAGCGAGCACGGTTGGGCCCCCATCCCACGCGAAGATTACTCTCGGTCGCCCGCGCTCTCGCGCCAGACGGACGCGCTATTGCGCGGGCCAATCTACGTCTCGACTCCAGCTGCGCCACGCAGAGCAAGAAAGGATCACTTGAGATGAAGACACCCTGCAACGGCATGGATGACGTGGAGGATCCAACATTGACAAAACAAATTGCAGAGGTATCCGATCCTGCGCTCGTTCCTCCCGTTCGCCCCTGGATGCGCGAGTTCCAATATCGGCGCGGCGTAGCGCCGGTGGACTTCAGCCCCTGGGCGCGCTATGGCATCGCGTCGCGGGCCGCGCAGGGGGCGGGCAACAACAACTATTGGCTGACACATGATCCCCCCCCCCATCGGCTCACCTCTGTTGCCTGAGGCTGGCGTCGACGCCCGCCGCCTGGGCCCCGCTGCTGCGCGGCAAAGGCGCGACGAGGGGCCGCGCGTTAAATTCGACATTCTCGCGAATTCCCAGGGCCCCTTCAACGGCGACACCAGGAATCAGCGACCTGATCCGCGCGGGCCGAGCGCCGCCTCAGTGGCAATAGAAAAACTACGCGGCCCAAATATCGATCGGACCCACTGCGGCAACTACGTTGCCGCCCAGATACACTTCAGAGGCGAGCGACCACGTTGGGCCAACCAACATATGGCACAACGACAACGGGAATGAGCAGATAGGCGCTAAGTTCGCATGCCTTCTCCATCGAGAGATCCCAGCGGAGATGCACGAGACCTTGTCGCAATGCGATATGGACATCCACCTCGGCAGTCCCATCGCAGGCGCAGTCGTTGACGCGCCGGCGGAAGCGCCCGCGCGACGCGACTTTGCTTTTGCACGGGACACCCACGAGGATGACCAGGCTGTCAGAGCGGATGAGAACACGGACGCGATGGAGATTGACGATTCACCCCAGAATCTGGCAACCTACCCAGAAGCCACGGACGCGTTCTAAGAAGCCGCCGACTCAGGCACGCGCGCGCGGGCATCCAAAACATTGCTCGACAAATTGCCATGCGGCATCACTCAGCACATCGGCATCACGCATCTACACGATGCGCATACGTTCACAACTCACATCGACATCAATTTCCGTTTCAACACGGACATGCTGCTTTACAGCATTACTCTCGGCCACCGCAACCAGTGGGCCATTGAGCATCCAGATCTTCGTGGCCACGCACGCTGTATCCACTCCCTATCGTTGCATCTGGATTACACTTTTGACGATGAATGCTGCCTTTCCCGTTGGATCCCCAACACATGCGCGGAAATCTCCACAATTGCTCAGCTATGCTCGATAGAGACTGGCCACATACAGATGCATCGCAATCACCCGGGGCCCATTGCCTTGCGGAAGTTATGGGGCGATACGATCGCAGGCGAGAGATTCGAGGGATTCCTGGAGTCAAACTCTCCTGGAGTCAATCTCCCTAATGTTCCGCGATCGGCCAGACGAAGGCCCTGCCGATGACCAACGACCTGGCGCGCGCATGTCTGAGGCTGACGCCGATATATCTCCGCGCGCAGTTGACCAGACCGGCCCCTTGGGGCCCCGCGTCGCCCCAGGACCCAAACCTGACCCGGGAAGCTCCGCATCTGCCGCCGCCCCCGCCCAGGAACACATCGCCAAAGAACTCCGCGCCGATAGCGATGATATCCTGCAGGGCGACGGGAGGGCCGCGCATGAGGCGGCGCTCGCGGAGCAGGCCAGGCAGATCATTGCCGAGCACACAGGCGCGGCCTCGGCACATCAGTCTCGCGGAGACATCTCGACAGGCGATCTCCCCGATCAGATGACTGATGAGGGATGCGAATATCTCTCCGCCGATCTCGCTGCCGACAGCGCTCGCGCGATCCCCGATCAGGCTCTCCGCGGTCCCGAGCGTTCCCTGGGCTCCGGCGGAGACGCCTGCGAGCGGGCTGAGACGCTCGCCCAGACCGGCGCTCGCGACATTACGGTGGAGAAGCAAAGCCGCGACAGGCATTTCCGTGACCCCCTCTGCCAATTACAGCGACCACGCCTGCAAAATGCGCGCGAATGCTCTAGCCCGGGGCGAGGCAGGCGAGGGCGAGGTCGCACGCGTTGCGGGCGCCAACTTTTGGATTCGCGATCGCGATCATCTGCATAGGGGCGTCGCGCAGCAGATCGCGCGCGCAGACGTCGACATCAGATTCACGGGTCAGAGATCCGACTCCGCAAAAGGTAGACATTTCCTATGGAATGTTGCCTCGAAGGCAGAGACCAGGCATCATGGGCGGCATGCCGCGGGGCGACCAACGGCTCGCCGCCGCCAATTGGCCGGCCCGAGGTCGACCCCGATGACTCGAGGGTCTCTTATATCATCCATGCCAGAACGGGGTCTCTTATAGCATCCATGCCAGAACGGGGTCTCTTGTATCATCCATGCCAGAACGTTCTCCGTCGCCCCTGGGAGCGCCCTGTCTGCCGGCCGCAGATGACACGCGGAAGCTAATGGAACAACGAGCACCCTTGACAATGGAGGACCTTGGAATGGCCGCGCGCCTACACGCCGAAAGCGCTGCGAAAGTTTACGCCGGGCGCGCAGTCAAAGCACCTGGCGCGATGAGTCGGGCTGAGCGCTTGGAAGGGGGGCCCGCGGCCCTCTCCATTCCCGTTGGGAAGCGGGCGGGCCGGGGCCGCGTGACCCCGGCGCAGCTCAGACTGGATCATCACACCAGCAAGGGGGCCAAGCCTCCGGCGGGGGGGTCGATCCTGTCACCGACCTCCAGTTTGCCCCGCCTCCCGCGCCTCCACCGCCGCGCCGAGATGGGCCCGCCACGGGCGCTGCCTCGGGCCGGCGTCATCCGGCGGCGACGTTGGCTGGACTGGCGGCGCCGCCGCAGCTGCCGCGCCGATTGCGGCGACGGCGCGGAGGCCGAGGGCGCCGCCGCGCCGGCAGCAAGGCCCGCGCGCACCACCTGACCAGCAAGGCCGCGCCAAGCCACGCCGAGAGCAGTCGGGGCGGCACTCGCAGGACGCGTCCAGAGGCATATCAGCGCGATTCCCTTGAGCGCTACCGCGGCAACACATGCCGCGACTGGTCATGCCATTTGAAAGACTGGATCTACATTGACGGAAACGATTGCGAATGCATTTGGGTTGTTCGTATCACAACACGCACAATTGGGCATGTCGATAATCGCGGCAATCGCACTTGGGATCCTGCATACTACGATCCCCACAGGTTCCGTTGATCGGTTTTCATATGATACGACTCCGTCACATACATTGCGGTATCATGGACGTGATATGACTTCTTCATATACTGTTCGGCACTATGGTCAAAAAAGTACCCTGGCATATCGCCCGCAACCAAATACGCAACAATTCCGTCGGCATCATGGGCAGAAACGCACCTAGCCAGGTCGATGTCGGAAACACAGAGTACGTTATATGCCAAGCATGATCCCCGTTATTCATTTCAGCGGCGCCATTTTTGAAACGAATTTGGATACGCTTCGCAAGAGCTACGGGGCGTGTGGCGCCTCAGGAAAAACGTTTGCACCACCATTACTTTGATCAGTTGTCGTAACAACTTCGATCACGCAGGCAATCCCGATTGAGATATTTGCGGGGCCTGGAGCGCCCAGTGATATATTGCTACTTAGTTATTATTTTGATTAGGTGCCACCACAACTTGAAGCACTATACTTCTAACCAAATCTGCTCGCATTACATTGTGTGCCAGGATGGTTGTCTCCGTTTTCTTTCCCTTGCACCCCCAACCCCGTCGCCTGCGGCGGCGGGGGGTCGCCCTGGAGTGCCGAAGCGTTTTGGGGGGCGCACCCCGGGCCCGTTAAAGGCTGGTGGGCCCCAAGTACCCCGCGCGACGTGGTTGGTCCTTTCCTGTCTGTCCCAGCCGAGACCGCCTCGGTTGGAGGCTGCAGGGGATGGCAGGGCACGTTGAGTGAACATCACACTTTTGTTCCCGCGTCCCGCCCCTGCCTCCCGCCGGCCCGAGGCCCGCGAGGAGCGGACGGGATTCGGGACGGGGGTGCGTGTGAAGTCCGTTCAGATCACCTTTCTATCCATCTATCCTGCTATTCTCTCGGCCCGGGTATCGAATTGCACTCGCGCCGCCCAATCCGCGGCGCATGGGGAAAATAGGTTCGTTTCTCCTCAATCGTCCTTCACCTATACGGACCATGCGGTAGATTCGACTATTTGGTTGTCAACCTCCGAGCGCACTGGACGACTCGGGGAAACGGGGCCTCGTGGGGGCCTCCTGGGGCCTCTTAGGGGCCTCTTGGGGCCTCTTGGGGGCTTCTTATGGCCGAGGGCTCGAAATGTTGTTTCGTGTTCCCTCTGTGGGGCCCCTTTGGGGGCGTTCTTGGGGCCCTCTTGGACCGTCTTGGAGGCTTCTTGGGCCGTCTTCGAGCCCTCTTGGGCCATCTTGGGGCCCTCTTGGGGGCCCTCTTGGGCCTCTTGGGCCCTCTTGGGGCGATCTTGGGGGCCTCTTGGGCCGTCTTGGGGCGTCGGGAAGCCGAAAAGGTGGAAGCTCCAAAATCTCTCAAAAACCTAATGAAAAACAATGAATTTTGCCTCCGGGGGCCCTCTTGGGAGTGCTCTTGGAGGCCTCTTGGGGCGTCTGGGGGCTATCTTGGGCGTCTTGGAGCGATCTTGTGGCATGTCGGACCCCTCGTGTACCATCTTGGGGGCCTCTTGGGGGCCTCTTGGCCTTTCTTGGGGCTCTCGGGGACGTCTCGGAGCCCTGTTGGTGCGCTCATGGGGCGCTCTGGTGGAGTCGCCCGGGGATCAGCCGGGAGTCGCCCGGGGTACTTTTCGTCTGGGGACCCCCAGGGGCCGCCCCGCGCGCGCGAACTAGAGAACTGTTAACCAGTTACCGGAGATTTTAGCACGCCTCTGGCCCGTTGGGCCGGCGAATTTTCGTCGCCGATTTGAGACAAGCACCCGACCGTTGTCTTGCGCCTCCAGACATTGCCGAAGTCGCCCGTTCAGACAGCGGCCGCTGTTGGTATTGGACTACCCAAAACTACGACGTCGTGCTGTTTGCTCACAGCATGGGCCCTTGGAAGTCTGGACCCCTTCCACGGGACCGGCTTTCCATCCCGAGTCGTCCTTTTGACGGTCCCAGGGATCAGTGAGGGTTCCCACGAGGCCAAAGGTTGCCACAAATTTCTCGTCGTGACGCTTTCGCAACGCGAGGAGGTGGGGGTGTGTTGGAGACAGGTGTTTTACCCCGTGGCGATAGCTGACATGACCAGAAGGGTGAGGGGGGGAGGGGGGCGGTCACGCCACGATTCGCGTAAGAATAGCGAATTCCCAGACGGCCCCGGCGCCAATCGCAACGTGACCAGGGGCAGGGGGGAGGTGGTGGAGCCAGTCACGGGCGTTATCGCGAGCAATAAGCGATGCGCTCTTGGCTGTTGGGCATCGTGCCCTTTCTTCGCCGTACCCACACCGGGCGTGCCCGGAGGCGCTCACGCAGCGCGGGTGGCGAGTGCAGCAGTTGTGAGCCACCAGCGCAACCAGCCTCGGAAAGCCGTGGCACCTGCGAGCCAAGAGAATTCATCATGAGCGGCGAACATCTCCGTATCGGCGCCCTTGCGGTTTGGATTCCGGGGCGCGATCCAGCGGTCGCGCGAATACGTACCGCGCGGGGCATCCGCGAAACAAACACCCTGTATTCGCAGGGTCGTGGCCAACGGGCCCAGCCCGCGAGGCCGCGGACACGGACATGTTTTTCGCCCGCGAATTCAGATTTGCAGACGGAATGACGGGGGCTGCTTCGATGCTCGAGAAATGTTGGGTCCACACAACGTTGGCCCGGCATGCTGACGAGACTGGCTGCTCCTAAACCCCCGAAGGAGAGGAAGACGCCGGGAACGTGGTTTCTTGGGAGGCGGGAGGAAGATCGGGTCGGACGAAGGGGAGGTCTAGGGAAAGAGGGGATTACGAAGTCTGCTGCATGCAGCTGGTCTCCGCCCCGCCGCTGGACGCTTCCCGCAGTTCATTGGTGCCGAGAGGCGCCAGGAAATCCAGCTACGCGAGCTGATTCGCTATCCCACTCCGCCTTACTACCCCGTTTTTTCGTCCGACCCGAGAGGAAGGAGGAGAACCAAACTCCGCCCATCCAACACATTTGCGCGCCACTTTTGCATTTACAGTGGCAGTGCGCGCCACGTGATAGACTGCGCCTGTACACGCCAGGCGCTTTCATGTTCCCTCCCATCTTTCCCTCACAGCGTCCATGAGCATTGGAGCCAGCTGGGGGGCTGAGGTGGCCGAGCATTGATTCTGACCAGAGGGAGAAGAAAATTGCCGCCTCGTCGCCACAGCTGGACGCGGCTCGAAAGACGTTAATGGTCAGTGAGTCTCGACCCCAGGAGAGGATTGGGGACCAATTTTGAATCGATGTTCTTTGGGCTTGTCCAGCTCAGACTCCCGGCCGCCTCCAACATAAGCACATCTGCGTCCTCTTCCAGTCTTCGTTTTATGTTTGCTCCAGGCACCCAACGGGGCGCCAAATGAGCACGTTCCCCTTCTCGCAATCATGGCTTTAGGTTTTTCTCAACCCGCCCCTGGGCGACCACGGTGGCCGCCAACGCTTTGGACGGGGTCTGGCCAGAGGAGGGCCCACACTAGGGAGGCCTCTTCGCAGTCAGCGCCTACAGTACAAACCAGCCTGGCGCTGCCGACTGCTTCTCGGGAGAGGCACACCTGTTGCCTCACTGCTTGCCTGAATGTGGGAGGCCACTACTATATACACCGATGTGGTCCCCCTCCCTTCTGCACACATTGAGGAGGAGGCAGGACGAGAAGAACTCTTTAAGGCCTCTGGGCGTTTTCCCAGGTGCTCCGCCCTCTCGTCGGTTTTCTCCAGAGGCCTCCAGAGCTTCTCTAAGACGTCCGGAGGACAGCGAAAGGAGGAGGGAGGGAGGGAGGGAGGGAGGGAGGAGAGGCGTATTGGTGCATACAGAGGTAGGGGGCCTCCCAGTTCGAGCGCACCCGCGCCCACGCTTGTTGGGCTGCCTGCGCATGCGGCATCGGAGCGTCGCCCACCCTGGCAGCCACGGCCTCACTCCGGCCAGATCCGCCCGCCCCCACCGGAGGCCTCCGGAGGCTTCCAGGGGTCTTTGAGGGCCACCCAGGGTTCTCTTTGAGAGCTCATGGTGAGGATCTCTTCCATCCCTCCTCCGTCCTCCCTCCTCGTCCCCTCCCTGCTCGGGCCCCTCTCCGCTTCCACGCCTCCACTTCCATCCTCGATCTGTCACCTGCCAACCTATCCTCCTCCTCGTCCTCGTCCACGTCCTCGTCCTCCTCTTCTTCTTCCTCCTCCTCCTCATCATCAGCATCAGCATCTGCATCATCGTCATCATCGTCATCATCGTCGTCATCATCATCATCATCGTCATCGTCATCGTCATCGTAATCAGCATCATCATCATCATCATCATCATCATCATCATCATCATCATCATCATCAGCATCAGCATCATCATCATCATCATCATCATCATCATCATCATCATCATCATCATCAATATCATCATTATCAGCATCATCATCAGCAGCATCATCACCATCATCGTCATCATCAGCATCATCATCACCATGATCATCATCGTCCTCCTCATCCTCATTTTTATCAGCACCATCATTATCATCATCATCAGCAGCATCAACATCGTCGTTATTGTCATCAGCCTCATCATCATCATCATCATCATCATCATCATCATCATCATCATCAACATCATCATCATCATCATCATCATCATACTATTCGTCGTCGTCATCATCACCATCATCACATGCATCATCAGCATCATCATCGACATCAGCAGTATCATCGTCATAATCAGCAGCAGCGGCAGCATCAGCATCAGCATCATCATCATGATCAGCACCATCATCATTAGCAGCAGCATCATCTTCAGCAGCACCATCATCAGCAGCATTATCATCAGCAGCATCATCATCACCATCATCAGCTTCATCATCTGCATCGTTCCTCATCGCCTCCAGGGCGGTCCTCCTCTGAGGGCCCCCCAGAAGCTGAAGGAGAGGGCGGATTCTCCCGGTCTTCCCGTTCAGTTTCTGAGACTTCGTTCGGCACCCGAAATGGCAGCCGAATGTAGGCTCGGCTCCAGGACTGTGGCAGGAAGCTGGCCCAGTCGGCAGTCACGTGGGCTGAGGCCCAGGCGAGCAGGGGAAGGGGGGAGGGGACGGGGAGGACGAGACTCCGTTCTGCCCGAGGTTCCTTTCCAGGTTGTGGGGACGCTGGCCCTCCCGCTCACCTTCTGAACCCCACTTCGGTAGCCGAAAGGGCAGCGGAAAATGGGCTCAACTCTAGGAGGGTGGCAGGAAATTAGCCCAGTCGACAGCCGAGTGGGCTGAGTCCCAGGTCCACTCAACAGCAGAACGGGCTCAGACGCCGAATCCATTGCAGTGGCGAGGGCAGGAGTGTGAGGGGGTGCGCGGGGAACTCTTGAGGATGACGAGGGGGGAGGGGAGGGAGGAGGCCGAGGAGCGAGGAGGGGAAGGGACGGAGAGGACGACACTCCGTTCTGCCTGAGGTTCGTTTCCATAGGATGGGGACGCTGGCATGGGATTGGGACGGGGGAAGCTGAGACGAGATGAGGAGGAGGAGGAGGAGGAGGAGGAGGAGGAGGAGGAAGAGGAAGAGCAGGGGATGGGCAGGATAGGTGGGGGAGGAGAAGGGGGATAAGGCGGGGCGGGGGATGGGAAACGCGGGACGGGAGGTGGGAGGGATGAGTGGGGAGAAGCAGAGGATTCTCCCTAAGTTCTGATGGTAGTGGTTGCCGGGGGACTGTCGCTCCAAGCAAACAGGTATGGCCATAGCAGCTAGGCTCCCAATGTAGGAGCGGGCTCTCAGATCTTCTCGTGTTCGCACCCTCTGTGTTCATCCTCACCCTTCTCCCCCATTCGTCCACTCCTCGTCCTCCTCCTCCTCCTCCTTCTCCTCCTCTTCCTCCTCCTCCTCCTCCTCCTCTTCCTTCCCATCCTCCTCCACAGTTTCAGGCCATCCTCGACTCGGTTAGCACGGCATGTCAGTGTCCAGGGGGGGGTCATGGACCTTGGAGTTGACACCAGTCTAGGAAACAGGTTCACAGCGCCGACACACCCAGAGCGACAGCGCAAGGTGAATCGTGTTATGAGCAAGCTCCAGACACTCACCACCACAGACGCCAAAGGGGCTGCCGAAGTGCAATCTGCAGTTGCCCAATGCCAGCAACCGTGGGGCCGTCCGACAAGCGGTATCACTCCCACAGAGGCTAGGCCGATGCGGGCCGCCGAAGCGACGCTGCCCGTGGGCGGTCCAAAGATGAGAAGATGCACGTCGACCACCCTCATGAGGCCGTCACCAGGGCAGTGGTGGAGCATGCCAAGCGTAGCTGGCTCACGGTTGTATACCTCCCCGCGCAGTTGGAGAAGTGCAAGCGATGTAGGTGAATCTTTTACGCGATTGCGAGCCATGTGTTGGGTATCAGCAGGCTGTTACACCATGTCGAAGCACTCGTGGCAGGGAATCATTGAGCAGCTCTTGCGTTGTTGGTGGAAGCATACGGAGGTGGATTGCAGGACCAGCCCGCCAGGCGAAAAGTGAATGCACAACACATCGATTGGGAGCCTTGCTGCAGGAGGTGCAGAAGATGTTGCAGCAAGCCCTGTGGCAGCAGTCAGCCGTCTTTCCAGCCGGCGGGGGGCTTGAGCCGGCGCGCAAAGTTGAGGTGGGAACGGCAGCTGAAGGACTAGACACGTGCCAGCGCCGTGGGAAGTCGACGGAGGTGCTCCCAATTGCGGGGCCGTCGAAGCCTGGCCCAGCCATCCATTGGAGGTGGCAAAGAAGGCCAACCACGCAATGCACCAAGAAGTTCGAAAGCATGTTTGGCTTCGCGGCGTGCGCCCCAGCTCGCGGGAAGCTGCCCTTGGCCACAGAGTAGACGAGCCCGCAGCCAACCACAGATCTTGCACCAGGGTAGCGGCGCGGGCGGCAATGTGAGAAGGACCGCGAGCTGAGGCAGCCTGCGTTTTCCCATCTGGCTCAGAAAGCAAAGCAGAGACAGTTCGACACCAGACGGCACATATGCGGCCAGGCGGCTGCCGCGATGAAATTGGACGCAGAGGGGTGGCGCTGCGAGGTCGCAGCCTGGAACGGATCCACCCGAGCTCCGCGCGCGGTCTCCAGGGCGGAGCTCGCGGCGATGGCCAGGGCGCCGCAGTGCACGCGATCCTCGACGAACGCCACCTTGGAGGTCAGGCTGCAAGTAGACCCTGGACGCGCTGACGATGATGATGGACCCCGACCGTCGCCGAGCACAAGAATGC